TATAGGGTTATATTGGGGTTGTATAGGGTTATATTGGGGTTATATAGGGTATATATTGGGGTTATATAGGGTTATATTGGGGTTACATAGGGATACTGGAAAAGAAAATGGAAACTACAATCGTATATTGGGGTTAATATAACCACGCTTGCCGCTTGCCACTTGGGAGGTTTCCCTAAATTGGGGGGGGAGGGGGGGGGGGGTACCTTTTTGGGGTCCCTAGAATAAGGACTATAGTATATTTGGGTCTACATTGGGGTTCCCCTATTTAGGGACTACCACTTCCAGTGAATGCCTGATCGCTTGATGGACAAGTGAGACCTACAGCGTAGCATGGTCGGTTGAACAGGTCATCAGATAGGCTTGCCCTTGGCTATGCAGGTAGACTGATGTCCTCTAAAAGCACGGACACTGGGACCTGGGCTTAGGTAGAAAGGCACAGGCATCATGCAGGGATGCTGTGCATTGTTAGCACTGATGGCGTTTGCCCTGCAGGCGCAACGCCTTCTCTGACAATGGTGGCAGCCATTGTTTGCGTAGTAGTTTCGATTGTGGTATACGGGAAGGGCTGATGCCCAAGTCGCAGAGCGGGTTTCACCCTAATCCTAATCCCCCTTCCCCCATACTTTCTACTCCACTGCTAGTCCCAGGCAAACTCCCTATGTGCTAAGATATGTAGAGCACCTCTTCAAGCTGTTGCTTCGCGCTTTGCAGCGACATATCCGTTTGATTGACTGCTTTGCAGTACAGCACGCGGACAAGGCTGGTGATGGTCTTGGCTCCGAGAGAGACCAATGTAGCTTAATTAAGGAATACACCTTAGAGCCTTAGATTCTACTAGGACCCTTAATATGACGTAAGGTATATTCCTTAATTAAACTATGTGGTAGTTGCCCTAAGTAGGGGACCCCCATAACGGTGCCCCTAATTCGGAAAAATCCCCATATTCTTTAGTTAAGCTGTATTGGGCTCCCTGTGAAAATCATATACTATAGTTTTATACTAAGTATATTCCTTTGTTAAGCTATATTGGATTGTATGGCATGAAAGTGAGGCTGACAATCCGTTGGACCTTCGAGAAGGCTGAAATGGATGCCGGAAAAAAGAAGCGTCAGTTCATTATTATGATATATTATGGTGTATTATAGTATTTTATGGTATATGATCGTCTATTACAGTATATATGGGTATCATAGTATGTTATGGTATATCATATTTTTAAAGTAGAATTAGGTTTATTTTAGAGCTGTTTCCGCTTCAGCTTCAGGCTTTGCAGCCTTGAATTGCGGCCTAGGGACAAAATCATTCATCTATGTGTCAGGGCGAAATACCTATGTCAGACTTATATTACTGGGGTTATACTGGGATAGTGGAAAAGAAAATGGAAACTACTATGTTATATTATAGATTTTTTTTTCGGTAATTGACTTGCTCGTGTTGGAGCACCTGTGTTGTGGCCGCAGGAGCATGCAGTAGGTGGAAGTCTGTATCTGACGACAAGACTCACAGGACAGCAGGGCCATTTCTTCCATGAGGTTAGCTAGTTGTTACTTTTATAACCACATTAAATTAAAAAACGTTCCAGCTGACTAGATTCCCGCATCTGCATGACATCTGAGGTCATGGTGTGGTCTGGCACAAAACCCGAGGTGTCTGGCTCCCCATTGAAGGACGGGCTGGTTACTTCAGGTCTGCGATTCCATGACATGGTGTGACTTCTCTGTTAGTGAGCTATGACGCGTGCCTGGCGTGTTCGGCAGTGTAAACACCTCCATTCCGTAGGTTCAAGCCATTACATGCATCTCCTGCTTGTAGAGGACTCTGACTACTTGCGGCGACAGCCAGCTGAGGGCTCCCAGTATGAGCAGTAACTTGGCCCAATCTATGACCTGCAGATTTGCCGCCGTTCCATCAATGCGTGTGGTGAGTGGATTTCACAAGCTCAAGGCCGGCTGTCACGCCTCGCCAAGAGTTGCATTGTACTGAGTGTTGGGTTTGTCAGCTGCGAAGCGCACCTTGATATGTACCGATACATCAGCAAATACGTGTTGCGTGGGTCCCCCTTGACGAGCTCCATGCACATTTCCATGGCGATAGCACGGGGGCACAGCAACTGAAGTGAGTTGCCGTGGCGGTGAGCTGCATGTTATCAAATTCGCCTTCTTGGGGAACAATAGAAAATTGCGGAAGTTTGCCACATTGATTTGTTGTGACCCGCACACCGATGGGCAGCCGCTGTGTCAAACAATCTGCAGCCCACGCCACGCTAGAGGGAAAAAAGAGAGACGTAAGTAGCCTGATTTTCTTCATTTATCTTGGACACATGTTGAGGTGGAAGGGGTTTGTTGAGTAATTTTGCCTGGCACACTAGCCCCCTGGAACCCTATGTGGAGACCAAACTTATAGTAGTTTCCATTTTCTTTTCCATTATCCTTATGTAATCCCAGTGTGCTATCTTAGTTTCCATTCTATCTCCCATTATCCCTATAAAGCCCCCAATATACACATATATACCTCAGTATATACCCTATTATACTACAGTAGCTTCCATTTTATTTTCCATTATCCCTATATATCTCCACGGCCTGAGGTGGAAAGAGATGGAAGATCTTGTCTTCAGCTGCTTCAACCGAGAAGGCTCGCAGGTGAAGGGCTTCGTCGTAGCTGGCGGAGTTCTGAACCTTTGCTTGAACATGAAAGCTACGTACTACTACTTTGTATGTTATACTTGTATATGATAGTATATTTTAGTATGCTATAGTATATTATAGTATATTATAGTATGTTTCAGTAGATTATTATCATATATTGTTAGTACATTGTAGTTGATAGATTATAGTATACTATAGTATCAGTAGTACCGCTTACCCCCCTTTCTTGGGGCTCAGCGCCTCGCAATGTTGTGTGCCGGGCCCTCGCATGCTAAGCCGAGTATGCAGGCTCTGCAGCAGACACCGAAAATGGTAGTTTCCATAAATAGGGGGACCCCAATACAGTTACAGAACCCCCAACTACTGTGGCCCTTGTTCTTGGGACCCCCCAAAATGGTACACCCAATTTTGGGAAGCCCTGAAATTTTGGTTTATATGGCAAGCGTCACTGTGTTTGCAACCTCTGCCCTAACTACAAGAGGATTATACACAAGAGCCATGAACGCAACCGAACTCTGCCTTTTGTAGCATCTGTACATGTTTGCACCCTCCCCTCAAAACTCAAAACCAAGCACTTCAGAAAAGTTAAAGCGCAAGTGTTGATGTTCGCTTCCGACACTAGATCCCAAATCTGAGCCCATTCCCGCCGGACTTAACTAATGTAGAAATCCCACATTCAGCACCCCCAAAGCCTTCCAATACGCTAAGGTATGGGGAGGGCGAATCCATTTTCGTAGAGATGTTCAAAGATGCATGGCGGGGCGTGCAGTCCCATGCGCCTGGGCCCGCAAGGTTCAGAATTTGCAAAGCGGGTAGTCCATTTTCTTTTTCATTATCCCAATACCTATATAACTCCGATGTAATCCCTCTATAACCCCTGTAGAACCCTATATAACCCCTTTATAACCCCAAGCTGTCAGCTCTCTGAGATGCTTGCATTGTGCCGAGTGTTTATTGAAAGCTGATAGCTGGCAACACGCTTCGTTGAGCCAACTCGAACTCCAACTTACCGCTGCAACCCACCTCTTATGTTATTGGCTGCCTCGGAATCTAACGTGCTGAGGTTGTAGTGACCCCGGGCGTCAATAAGGTGCCCACTGCGCCTTTGCTGCAGTTTTCGAATCTGGTGTTGCGGGTGGTAGCACGGTAAGACCAAGAAAGTTAGATCAGAAGTGCCAACCAGGCACCTCTGCGTTCACAGTAACTTGATGGAGCGTCCAGCTGCTGGCTGCTTTCGGCCAGACTAGGCAGCCGAACCTAGTCATCGTCACACTGCCCCATCGCAACAGCACTCACACCGTGCGTGGGATGGCGGAGCGCTTGACTGTCCATTTGAGGTCCACGTGCGGGACATGGCGAGGGTCGTCAGACAAGTAATCACGAAGCTTGATGGCAATCAGGATTAGCGTGGCAGTTGCATCAGAGGAATCACCGCTGCTGCAGAAATTGATGCGCAAAGGGTGTTGTTGCAGGGCACAGTTTGCACCAAGGAACGCAGAGGGCATCAACCCTCTTGAAGCCACTCCATACTTCCTGGCAGTAGATCAGCCGCCTCCTCCTCAGCTATAGCAGGGGCATTTTGTGCAGAAAATGAAGATTTGTAAGCTGATGCCAGTGCCTCTTTGCGCAAGGTGTAGCTAAGATTTGGGGAGAGTAAGGCCGGCAGCCAAAGAAGGCCAGCCGTCCATGCCGGCTGCGCAAGCAGCACCTGGCCCGCAATGATCATGAAGTGGGCAGGGTAGGTGGGACATGGTGGGATAGAGGGGCTTGTCAAAGTCTCGTTCACTTGTCCAAACCTTCTCGGGAAAGGCATCCTGTGCCGACCAGCGGCCCTTTGATTATCCTGTGCCTCATGATGTAAACTTTCAACTCCCGACAAAGCAAGCGAGGTCAGGTCGTGAAGAAGTGAACGTGCGTGGCTATGCCAGTTGATTGTTGTTGTCGATTTTAGCAGCTGCCTGCGCGTTTGTGGTAGGCAGAAGCCCATAAACTGCATGGACTTGGCGGTGCATGGCTATGATGCTCTACTTCCCAGTCAGGAAATTGTCCAAGCAATTGTGGACGAAATGGGCGAGCACTATGATGTCCCTCGCGTGCCGAAGGCGCACCTCGGGTTGATCCAGGGCCGTCCGCAGCGGTGGCATCTACAAGTGGGAGACGGCACATGGCCTTCAGTCTTCTTTCCGTGTGGAGAAGTTGTTGTACTTTATATAGTGCCCAATGCCTGCTGAGCAGCTTCTACGCTGTTTGTGGCCTTTGAACATTGAGGCTGGCAGCTGGACCAAGATCCAAACACAAAGAAAGTAGCCCCGCATGTAGACATATGCAAGATGCTGCCAGGGCAAAGGCATAAAGGTAATCTGCAACTATTGCATGGTTGGTGTCATCTTCTAACAGTATAGTTGCTAGCTGGCCTTATCTTGAGTGCCCGGAGGCAAGCATTGCGGAAGGTGGGATGAGCGATCTACAGGCGCGGCCCTGATGGATCTGCCTATCAGGTACAGGGACTCTTAAGGTTTGAGGGGCTGATTGTGAGAACATGGTGGTAAGACCTAAATGGTAATTTCCCAAAATAATGGGTACCCCAAAATAGGCCCCAATATACTATAGTCCTTATTATAGGGACCCCCTAAAAGGTACCCCTAATTTTGGGAAACACCCAAATGGTTTGCACTTTGCGGAGGACCCTTTGGCAGGTTTCAGGTCCTGGCTGAAGGTGTTTTGATGGCGATGTCAAGCCTAAGCTGTTGTTAGCACAGGAGTAGTCAAGTTCACAAGAAGGCTGGGAGTATCAAAGCCTCTTCCACTAGGAAACCAAATAAGACACAACCCATAAAAATTAAATGTGGAGTAATTTGCAGTTTCTCTTGCATTCATACTGAGTCCCCCTGACCCTCCAACCCTAAACCCTAAAGAAAGAATTTGGACCTTGGAATTTGGAATTTGGAATTGGAGAGTAAATCTGGGTGGCGCTCAGCCCCACTGCCAGAAAGAGGAGCTTCAGGCATACAGCACACTGCATGTTACAACTGCTTTACAGTCCGCTTGGCGAGCAGAATTCAGGGCGTGCCCGATGTGTTGTATGCTGCAAGACCTGTTAGCTACTGGCATGGTGCATGTTGGCGAGGGGCGACTTCAGAATTCAAGAATTCCTGACCTCATGAATTCATGGCCTCCGCTGTGCTGCAGTGGATACAGTCAAAAGCTGGATGAGCATGTGGGTGGAATTTGACCGCTGGTTGATGTGACCAACTGTACTGCACTCCCAGTTCTCCTGAAGGTCTACTGAGGGGCAGGTGGCTAGACTGAGTGGTGATGTTGGCCGCGAGTGTAGGCAGCTGATTGAGTCTTAGTCTGGCTTGAGGTGTTTAGCTGAGCTGACCTGAACGTTTGCCGCCGTGCTTGCTTGTGCGATGCGCGTGTCTAAACCCCAAAGACGCCAAAGCAAGCTGAATATAACCCCAATACACTATAGTAGTTTCCATGTTCTTTTCCATTCTCCCTGTGGAACCCCTATGTCACTTATAACCCTATACTTACCCCCCCCAAACCCTAAGCCCTAAGCAGGAGGCCATGGCTTTGGACCTTTGGATCGAGCCCTCGGGCATTGCACTCGCTGAGGACATGACCCCAGGGATCATGGGGACAAGTGAGTAGTATTTTATCTGGGGATACTATGGTACCCAATAATATAGGGTTTAGGGCCCTGTAATGGAGAATCAAATGGACAAGAAAATGGAAAATGAAATGGAAACTACATAGGATCATATAGGGGTCATTTGTGTAGTATTTCATTTGGGGATACTATGGTACCCAGTAATATAGGGTTTAGGGCCCTATAATGGAGAATCAAATGGAAAAGAAAATGAAATGGAAACTAGGATTATATAGGGGTCATTTGTGTAGTATTTCATTTGGGGATACTATGGTACCCATTATAGAGTAAGATCATATCCTCCTTTTGGGGTATAGTATTTTATATGAGGAATGTTATCTTACCGGGTTCAATCACCACAAAAAACACTACTCAAGTGGGGATTCCCAGAGTTAGGGTGGGATATAGGGATTATATTAGGTTATACAGGGGTCAATAGGGGCTATTTAGGGGTTCGGGATTAGGGTTTAGGGTATTACCATAATTAGGGGTACCACATTGGGGGTTCCCATAGTAAGGATTATTTAAAAGAATGGTGTCTATATATTGGTCCCCCTACTTGGGGAAACTACCAAGTTTCTCAGGTTTTTGTTGGCATTTGGCTAGCTAGGAATGAAGGAATGGATCCTCATAGTAGTCCCTAAATACCCATTATGATAGTTTCTATTTCCTTTTCCACTCCTTCATTCCCGGCTAACCAAAGGCCAGCTGGGTGGTAGTCTCCTGAAACAAGTGGGTGTGTTTCCTCCGCAAATCGGGTCAGGCATATTTTCGTTGACTTGTCAGCTCACCGGATTTGGGGCTTGAACAAGGCAACTGGACGGATGAAACCACTAAAGCCATTCAGTGCAAGCTTATGTTGGGCTCAGCACAGAACAGCTTACTACCAGCCTAGCAGCGTGTTGCTTTAAAGGACTTTTGCTCCAGCTTGGAGCCCCCTGGCTGGGTGTGCAAGAGTCTTGGCATTGTATCAGAATGGAAAAGAAAATGGAAACCACAGGGATTATAGGGATTGCATAGGGGTTATATAGCAGTTACAAGGTGTATATATTGGGGTAATATTGGGATAATGGGTGGGTTTCGCATCAATTTCTTCTCTTGGATCACATTTTAAGCTATTCTCCAGGCACTTCTCCGAAAACACAAGGTTATGGCTAAGCTGCATTTTGATTGGGCGAATAGTTGAATAGTGACGGGGGGGGGATGGACTTATCAACCCAGAAGAACCCACCTGTCATGGGTTCCCCTCGCCCCGTGATTGGTCCTGATTATCCTTAAGTAATCTTAATCCATGGGAGCCTAGTAAGCAGGGGGGTAGTGGAACCCTTGAACCCGCCCGCCACCCAGTCTTCTCCGGAGGGTACTTGCTGTAGGAACTGTGCCTGGTGCTGACACACACACACACACACTGTAGAGACAAGATGCCGTAGTAGTACGAATGGACGTGGTAGACGCAAGAAAATTCCCGGGCCCTTCACCAGTGTTTGTCATGAACTGGAGCTTGGACTCTCAATGTCCAAGCTTAAACGCGGCAGGGTACTTCATACCATCAAGAGTAGCACATCTCTACCAGGTGCAGAAGATAGCCCTGTAGCTGGTATAGGCTGGGTTTAAAGAACCGCGCGCTCGGATCCTGAAGTGAGAAGTGAGGGTTGCTCGCAGGTCAAATTCTCAATGGGGATGTTGTTGTCCTGATGGAGTTGAGAAGTTCCTCTCTGCATTTTGCCCCAGGAATGGCCTGCTGGCAAACCTCAGAACCATTGCAGATGAGTTCTGCGCTGGTAAGAAGCTGCGATCTATGAGGAGATTTGGGGTGGCTTGCAGGTGGAACGCACTGAAGTTCAAGTAAAGTTGTGTGGGCATTTTCCCTCCTAGCTCACTGCGGCTGTGGCAAGCAGATCTGTCATACGGTTGAGAAGATTGTTTTTGCCACGCATTGTGCTTGACTTCAGGATCCTCATCGCAGGGCCGCCAAACTCCGGCAAGACCAATCTTGCCACCGGGCGGGCACGGGATTCATTGGATTACATGTGAGGCCTAGCAAATCATAGATCCAGCCCTCCCTCGCTTTGCACAAAGCAATCGAGAAGAGAGCTAACATATTAGACGTGCATCCAAGGCCCAAGCGGTCGCGGAGCACTTCAAAGTGCCTCACCTGTCTCTGCCAGAGGAGGTCACAAGTGCAGATCTGGACAAAACGACACTTCCCCACAACCTGGCAGCATATTGTTTGATGGGCCGCATCATGTTCATGGATACACTGCTAAACTGTGTTGGCTGAAAGGACCTTTCAGATCTCGATATGTGTTTGGCTAAAACCAGCAGGAGACTTCGAGAGAAAGCAAGGGCTCATCCGTAAGAAATCCAGTGCTGTCGCTGATCACTGCAGAATGTGGACTTCAGAAAGGCAGTTACACTTTTGACTGCAGACCCAAACTTCTGGACACCACTTATTCCTAACTGAGGCGCTGATTCGCAAGCTGAACTGCCTTGCAAGTACTTCGGGCTTCGCAAAAACAACGAAACAAACGCGCATCTCTTTTCAAGCTGCCCATCATGAGGCTTTCATTGTTGGGGCTCTACAAAGCGCGAGCCAAATGCTTAAAGACACCAACTCTCTATGAATTGCATTCGCAGCTCAGGATCACGCAGATCTCCTCCAGTGTTTGCCATTTCCGGGGCTACGTCCTCGACGCAGGTCATGCCGACACGTGCAAAGATGAGAGCGTAGGGTGTGCAACGCTAGCCTTCCACCCTCCTCTCGTTGTAATTTTCAGCCAGACCATCAGCGTATGTTCTGGTGCTTTGGGCCCCGGCAGTTGTTCTCGAAGATCCTGGCAGTCTTTCATGGCTCTTGTGAGCACTGACAGAAATGTGGGGTGGCTGGAGCCCGTAATACAGTAAGTCATTCGTAAAAATCGGAATCCCATTTGGGGCGCTCACCCATTCTGGTTGGCAGGAGGCATTGGCTTTGCCGAGGCAGAGAAGCTGCGCGGCTGGAAAGTGGCACAGCTCGTAGGCCTCCAGGGGATGATGGGAAGATACTGTTATCATTATTACTATATTATGGCTATTATATTATTATTACTACTATTATTATTATGGTTATTACTACTATTGCTACTACGATTATGATTACTACTATTTTTACTACTTTCCAAATTCCATCCACTAATTCTATAATTTCCAAGCCCAGAGTAAGAGCCTGACATGGTCTTCTAGGAAGGACCTCCACCCGTTTCGTTGAGGCATGTGTGGGGCTCCGGGCAGTATTTTTTTCCCTTACAGCCCCTATAAAATCATAAGCACGGTAAACAGTTGCCGCCAAAATCGTTTTCGAATCACTTACGCAACTACATGATGGTCTTGCAAAGGCCGCCCTTTCATGAATTGCTGTTAAAGAACCTCAACGAACCATGGCAAATCTCTCTAGTCTGCCTGCTGCATATGCACATGTTTCATGGGTCCCCCTACTACCCTCTAGATTTCTCCTTGACTAGCCTTAATTAGCTAATCAAGGCAAGTCAAGGGGAAGCCTAACGGGGGTAGGAAAGGGGCGGGGGTGGCAGCGGAACCCATACAGTAAGAGGCGACTCAGTGAGTATCTACCTACATAGACCCTTCACGTGTCCTCTATTAGGGTTTACGCACCGAATTGAAAGTTGTTAGGCGTAGCCCGCAGAGCTGAAAACTGCCAAGAGCCTAAGGTTGTCCAATCCTGCGTCCTGCTTTTGTTGGTGCCAAGGCTCTTCCGCTATGACATTGAGGTGCCCAAGAGCGAAGAGGCGCCTCTGAGGGGCCATTCAAAGGATAGGCTAAGGCTTTTCGGATAAGAGTTGTAGACTCTGGGTGCAGGGTTCAGACGACAAGAGCTTAGGTGTGGCATCAGACGGTTGCACAATCCAGTTCTAGACTGGATGGTGATCTGATGCAGCAAGGAAGGGCTTAGAGCAAGCTCCAAGTATTCTCTGTGAATCTCTGTGAGTTGTGGATGTCTCCCACGAAATGGGCTTTGGTCAACAAGTTAGGATCCCTCACAGAAGAACTGTAGCGGCAGGAACAGCTTTCAAACAATCTCTCGAGCCCCTTTTCGCCCGCATCTGCTTTCCAGGAACAGGAGGAAGTCCCTGAGGGTGCGGATCCGGCGCCGCCCAAGATCGAGCGTAGACTCAATGAGGAGACTGCCTACACCGTGAAATTTCTTGGTCTGCTGGAATAGTTTTCTGATCACGAAAAACGTCTTAGCTTTGGAGTTCCCTATGTTGAGAATGTCCAAGACCGATGGCGCTGGTTTGTGGTGGCCATGACAGAGATAATCAAGGTTGCAGCAGGCGCCGTAGTCTGACTGACAGTAGGCATAGTCACAGGAAATGCTACTCAGAGAGTGTTAAAAGCATGTGAAACTTGGTTTCGCCATAGAAATCGAGGCAAAGGGTACAAGGAGCAATGCTGCAAGTACTCAGAGAGTGACTTCTAGCTGTTTTTGTATGAGTGAACCTTGCGCAGGGTTTCCAATGTTGGACACATCATGATCTACCTAAGAATTGTCGTGGACGGCTCTGAGTGTGCGAGAAGTTTCCCAGAACTTTCACAATCCATTTTAGAGGGCGAGAGTTACCACAGATCGTATTCGGAGCCTAATACGACAAATAAGCTGCAGGAATGCTGCAGTTTGTTTTGAATTCTAGGTTGTTGGCGTTCACGCCTCTGCTCTTTGCCGAGCTACGCCAGGGGTACCGGTTGTCCCAAGCAAAAGGCATATATTCCCTTATTCCCCCTATATATTATAGTAGTTTCCATTTTCTTTTCCATTATCCCAATATAACCCCAATATGTTCCCGATATCCCCTATATAACCCCAATATATACCCACGTGGTGACATCCTGGCAGGAGACCTGTCCGGCTATGGCAGCTTGGCCCAACATGCGCCGGAGGTAGAGATGGGGGTTTCCCAAAATTGCCATAACAAGGACTCTAGTATTTTGGGGTCTATATTGGGGTCCCCCTATTTAGGGAAACTACCTAGATTCTGCAGGGCTTACGTAGGGACAGTTTTTGGTCAAGGAAGTCCTTTATGGTGAATCGGGTGCGGGAGTCATTCTGCACGACCCTGCACAGGAAAATAAGATCTGTGCTTGGAAGGAATTTGCGGATTCTTCCGCACTGGCGGTCATTCTGCAGTATGTAGGCCACGTGCAATGTCTGAATACTTGAGCCCTCTAACTTGTTCATCATGTTCCCTACTGCGGGCAGCCCTTGCATTTCAAGTTCTTCTCACACCTACCCGTACTATAATAATCTCTATTACGTCTTGCAGTAATGTATTTATCCCTCGTGCGAACCTCTACGTACCATGTTCATTCATTGCTTCCATGACTACAATCGCTTCCCCCTCTAGTCAAAGTAAGTGTTGCTCACCCAGGTCATCATCACGCAGGCGCCGGCCGCGATTTGCAAGGCGCGATGGCAATCCTCTGGAGCTTCGCTGGAGGCCTTCGAGAAGTCGATGCAGGCAGGCCATCGATCCATGGAATCCCAAACCTGAACGCGTTGCACGCCGACCAGGAATCTCCCAGAAGAGCGCCCCAGAACATGTTATCACCCGATGCATATGTGACCTTCTTAACGGCCAAGGGATGATGAGGATTCAGGATAGCACCCGCAGTCAAGGCAATCATGTTCTGCGAGCATGAGTAGCGATGAGGGGAGCACGGTGGCTGCTACAGCAGCAGCATCTGACGAGTCTGAAGAGCAGTGGCAGTAGCAACAAAGCTCCTCTTCCACCGTGCCCCAGAACCTGCACCAGGACCTATTCAAACGTCGATCCTTGAGTTGTCAAGATTAGGTCTAGATCTTGGATAACAAGCAAGTTCAGCCTTGAGATAGGGAAGAGGATGATGGTTTAGAGGTTCAAGTTTGGGGCATGTCAGATCCAGCATGCCTCAGGCTTTTGCGGTGTGATTGGCCGTTCAGGGACCATCCTATCGAATGTTTGTGCGCGTGCTTCTGATCCATTTCAGTCAGTTCGAAACTGGAGCTGAAGGCTTTCTGAATTTAATCAATTGTTTGATTCATGGCTCTGACCTACCTGTCTGTGCCCGGACGGGCAGGCATACATCAGCAACAACCTGACGCAGAACGTGCACAGTCTGCAAGACTTCTTCCAAGACGTCGCAAACAAGGGCGTGTTGAACTTGCCGATCACCGGCAAGGACGACGAGGAGCCTGCAGATCTAAAAGCCTCAGCGTGCAACTTGTACGGGTGACTGGTGACTCTCTCACAACTCGAAAAAAACGGCCAGAGCGTCTTCGTACATGCTGGTTGAGTTGAATCAAGACCCTGAATGCTCGAGTGATGGAAGCCAACAAATGTCACGGGCGACGCGACAAGCCTTGAGAGAACGCGAAGATAGAGCGAAACCCTAGTATTTTGTCTCAGGAAACTTGATCGTAAGCACTGCCAATTACGTGAGAAGCTGACAGATGGTGGCTGTCATACGCATTTGAGTATTTTAAAGCCTTTTATCCCATTCATTTGTACCGATCCCGTCCCATAACGTATTGAAATCATGAGACCAAGTTTGCCCTACATAGTACTTTCCATATTCCCTAGAATAACCCCTATATGACCCATTACAGTAGTTTCCGTTGTCTTTTCCACTATCCCTAAAAAATCCCTATATATCCGCAGTTCCAACACTTTACCAAGCACTGCAAGCTGATGCATCGCCAGCTGCCTGTATGGCGTAGTTTATATAGGGATAATGGAAAAGAAAATGGAACCTGCTATAGTATGTTGGGGAATATATTTGGGTTATGTTTGGATAATGGAAAATATGACATAATGGAAACTACTAGAGTAGATATATACATATATATATAGGGGAGACAGTGGGTTATATTGGGATAATACTGCTATGACAGCTGCTACTGTATGCAGCAGTTTGAATCCAGAAATTGATGTGGATACCAACAAACCAAAACGATAAGAGAACTTGCTTGGACCCAAATCTGTGAACCAAGGTCCCGTTTGGGATGCAAAGCCCCAATATTGTTGAGAACTGCTGAAGGTTCCAAGGAGCGGTTGCAAGCTTTCCAGGCTCAGATGCTCGCCTTCTGAAGGTTGCTTCGAAAGTAGGGCTTAGGGTTTAGGAGGTTCATCCCATGTTTCCTCACTTTGTACCTGCACCCGTGGCTTGCATATGGTGTGCCAGCCTTCTACCACTAGGATGTTGCAGTCCTCGTGCTTGATGGAGCTAAATGAAACGAGGACATAACAATTGAATAGAGACGGTCCAACATTTTTTTGGGAAACTCATGACGCAACAAACTGTCAAGTAATGTGTGCTGCGGCACTGTTCAAGGAACAGGAAGATCTCCAGCTCATGTTCAGCTTGACATAGCATAGCTGCAGGACATGTTCGAGAGTGCCCGGATCTACATCGAGCGGAACGGGCGGCCGTTCAACTACCTGACGCCCGAAGCAGAGGCTGACATAAAACTGTGACTTCAGGGGGTGCTTTGCCCCTTCCTTGCACAGGCATTCTACTAGTAGTAATAGTTGTAATAGCAGTACTAATGGTGATAGTCGTAATCGTAGTACTAGTAGTAATAGTACTAATAGTAGTAATTGTCTTAGGTAGCATATTTGCAGCAGCTAGCATCCCTGGCCAATTGCTGACAGAGCACCGTGATAATCCCCGCGCTCAGCACATCTCAGCACCATCTCCTCAAAGGCATAGAGGAAGTAAAGACCAGCGTTTCTGAGAGAATCACCACTCCCACAAGAGATCCTAGTTATTTCCTTCCTGAACTTGAAAATTGTGGGCTCCATATTCTATTGAGCCGCAGAAGGTAGAATAAACAACTCCCAATGTAAAGGTCTCTCGAGAAATCCGTGAGCGACGAGCGGAGAAGCACGGCCGCGAAAGCAGGCGAATGAATTCAGGTCGCCTGATGGTTGGGTCCAAAGTCTCTGTAAGGTCGTTATTGAAGAAGGCCATGCAGAGTTCCGCAGTTTTTCAAAGGGCCAGGCAACATCAATCCAGCTACAGACAAAGGGGCAAGTGGTCTTCACTGATCGGTTTCGTGCTGGCGCTCTCAAGGTATCAACATATGCATGAGATTGCATAGGTGCTTCAAGTTCGAGTCAAAAGCTTTGTAGCTCAAGGCAAACAAGTCCTGAAGCTGGAGCTTTGCAAAGGGTTCAGCTGAGGAAAGAGAAGGCAGCGGCTGAAGCTGAAGAATCCCTGAAGCAGAAGGCCCGAGAGCCCAGCAATATGGCGACCTGTGCTGAACAAGCACAGGTACCACGATCATGCTTCATAAGTTGCAAGTCTTGATGTGGGGGATTCAAGCAGAGTAGGGTTTTAGCAGCAAGCAAGCCACGTGCAAAAGCAAAGATCGGCCCACGAACTGTTGAAGACCGTGCGGCTAAATCTGACCTAGAGAGACCCTTTACATAAACCACCCTCACCTAAGAGCCAAAGCATCAGGACGACGGCAGCGCAGAGAAGAGAGAAGAGCAGAGGCACGCAGCGCGGCTCCGTATCGTCTCGGACCACGAGGCTTGCTTGATTTCAGAGGTGCTTGTCTGCCCACCGCCTTTTTGTTGTTGCATGCCCAGACAGGTTTGTGCGAGCGTGATGTGTTCCATACTCGAACCACTGTCGAATATGAAAAGCCGTTATTGGGAAACACAATTGGATGCTGTGCAGGCAAGTGGCTCAGTGGTCACTGGTTCATCAGGTTTGCAAGCCTTTGGGCCGTAGCAACTACAAGCCGCTTTTCATTTCCCCGCCTATGTGAGTATCCAGCGATTAAAGCAGAGCATGGGAGGCTGCGCAGCAAAAGCTTCGACAGCTTCCTCTTCGTGAGTACCTGATGCAGATGCCCGGCTGGACGTCCTATACTGGTAGGGCTATTGATGGCAGATGCGGTCAGAGGGCTATTTCTCAAAATGCTCCTAAGCGGTGACACCCTTGCTGAAAACCAATGCAAGAGGCGGCTGTTTGAATGCAGGCCTATACTTTCCGCTGCAGTACTTACTGCTGGTTGGCTGGCCAGATTCCAGGGTCATGTCTTGCTCAGGTACATGGTCCCGAATCTGACGGAAGGCCTCGTGGAGGTTTGCAAGGCCGAAGCTGCCGAGTAAGAGTCACGTTGTTTACTTGAAGCAGTGCGCAGTCATGTGCAGTCTTGTCGGTCCTGGAAGGGTGGAACTCGGCCCGACTTTCATCTGAGAACAAGCGTTGGATGGGGTAAGTTGAATCCAGAACAAATCTCCGCAGTTAGAGGTGTTGCCAGATGATCCCGTGGATTACTTGGCCAACTACCTGGAGGAGCACGCGGCAACTGTCTTGCAGAATACGCTACATTGGTATCAGCGCTGGTGCAGGCATATCTAGGTTAAAGACCAACTTGCAGAGGCAAAGGACTGGGTTCTAGTCCCCCTTGAGTAGATAGAATATGGAGTATATGGGGATCTTGTTATGATATACTCAAAGCCATATTTCTATCTAGGTAAGGGGGTTTATAGCACTGACAGAGCCAGCAGGATTGCCAGGATTTGCTTCTGAAGGCAGGCGGTGTTTCTTGCAGTCATACCCAACCATATTATTCCAAAGCACCGTTCTCGAGTTTGGGCAGCGCAAAGGCACGGACGGTTGCTCTCAAGCGCTGAGGCGCGAAGGCGGTTAGTTGTGACACATGTGCACTCAATCTTTGCGTTTTGATGCAGAGCCCCATGCGCAGTCTTTTGCTGATGCGAGTGGCTTGCAGTCCGACAATATCTGGGAGCTGTGATTTGTTCCGATCTTGCTCAGCAACTCAAATTTGGCTTATCTTTCCCGTTATCCTAGAGCGTTGTCAGCTGGGCTGTCTCTCGAGACGCTTGGACTCTGCCCTCAGAAAAAAGTAGCGGTACATAATTGATTGAGACAGTGAGCGTGACCTTCCAAAGGAGTTTGTGCTGAGCATTTGCATGAGCTTCTCAAGATGCAAACTGCGCACTGTCAGGCTGCTGCACCTCTCTGAGAGCCATGATTCCGGTAGGTTTCACCTTCCCCTGCCTCCCTTCCAGTGACACCCTTCAACTCACCTACTTTCTCGATTGTTCGCCAAGACAGATGTCGAAGACTGTTGTAGTTCTCCCAGGGAGGCTTGCCATTCCTCAAAGAGCCTGCCAGCGCCGCCAGGTTTCCTAGATCGTTCTTTGTCTCACCACGACCAGAGCCAACTGGAGCATGTGCTGGCGAAACTAGAAGGGCCTCGCGCGTCAGGGGGTAACAGCATTCAAGACAGCCTGCAGTCAAAGCATGAATGTGATCAGAAGATTTCAGAGTTGGGCAGGACACCCAGCTTCAGTAATTAAATGAAATCTGAGTAGTCCTGAACACATCTGAGCACTCAACCATAATGTCCGCAATATCTTTGAAAGAGGCAGCAGAGATCTTCCGAGGTCGTACCAAGAACCAAGTCAGCACAAGAGCCTCAGCACCCTGATTCTCGCCCTTGATGCAGGGTTGCAAAGTCTGGATAGGAAGCGCGCACCAGTCCAACGCTTAATTATGCTCAAGACGCAAAATGTGATAGTTTCCCTAAGTAAGGGGACCGGCCTGCGGAGGGGTTCAACCTAGATGAGTCGCTGCAGTCCAGATGCAAAAAAAGGGGACCCCACTATAGGCCCCAGAATACTATAATCCTATAGGGACCCCCAAAGGGGTACCCCTAATTTTGCAAAACCCTAAACCCCTTATAGCCCTATATGTCCCCATATAACCCCCAATTGTATCCTCCTTTAAAGGCACCCCCGATTTTGAGAAACCCCCATATCAAGCATCTACAAGAACGACTTTGAGCCTTCAAGGTCCGCGTCCCAACTGGTGTCGGGCCAAGTATGAATGCTCATGCACGTTCGGGTTTGCCCTATGAATTGCCCTATGCATTTAGTGGATCCCCCATCCAGAAAGAGTGACTATAAGGCATAATGGTGATCATATTGGGGCCATCATAAATATATTCCTAGTATACCACTATTACAAGGTGGGCAGTCCACCTAACCTATGCATGGTGTTGAGTTGTAGTTTTGCACCTAACTGGCACTAAGTGGCTTGATGAGGCACTAGAGCCTGAACGGCCTGTTGCTACTACTCATGGTGTTGCACAGGCTCGGTTGATGTCACATGTAGGACAGGAGCTCGGCAAATGCATGTCATCCCGTTTCTAGTATGAATCCTACATGGCTTCCATGAGGTTGTTGTAGGCGGCCCGGGCCTGCAACTTTCAAAAATCCTAGCGCCCGCATCTCTTCGTGCAATTGGCACCGGCTGACTTGAAGAGTGGTGCAGGAGTCGGCAACAGGATACCTGATGTCAAAGTCGCATTCAAAATGGCTCCGCGGCTCCTTTGGATTCCCCAGTGGAATCCTTACCGGCCTGTTGTCCCCGAGCATCGCAAAACCATACTTCCATTGACTTCTATTCCTCAAGCGGCACACCAACTGGGCAACCCAAAGGTGTGCGCCTTGGATCTGGCTCTCGCCTGGACATTTAAGTTTAATGGGGACTCTTATGCATATAGGGATAATGGAAAAGAATTAGTATTTAGGGCTTAGGCTTATATGAGCATATATAACCCCAAGCCTGAGAACCCAATGCAAAAGATCTTGGAACATGAAATAGCAACTGGGATAACATGGTGGCTTTGTAGGGTGTTACTGTAACAGAAGGAGTTATATGGGGCTATGGTCTACACTCCCCAAAAGGGGTTATATAGGGGATTATATAGGGGACTACTATAGGGGTTATTAAGGGGGATACTAGGAGTTTAGACTATAGCTCATATGGGGCAACATTCGAGAACTTGGCATTCCAAAGCCTGGAGCCCAGGGCGAAGTGGACTCGCGACGTCTGGCCAGGATCTCAGGTGGCCACGACCTTCAAGGCTCTCAAGGTGTCTATTGGATTTAGGTTTGAGGATTTAGGGCTTAGGTTCTCACTGTAGATGAAGGCCAGCAAAAATAAAGGAAATTGTTAAAGGAGCAATCGCTATGCCTTGTTTCAGTAGATTGGACTGCTTTGCGGTTGCTTTACTTCTCCGAGGTGGCAGCCTTCTACACTCCTACAACTTTGCCGTATCGCATGCCACTCCTAGATGGTGATCCAAGATACAAATTAAGTGAAGTTTTTAGCCGTCATGCGAATAGTACTTGCCCCCTTAGCCAGAGTAGCATGTAGGAACTTGATCGGTTACTACGTAAATCTACACAGGTTGAAGGAGTTTGTAGTGCAAAGCTCATACTACAATGTCAGCTTATCCCAGAATTGTCCGCCACGGAGAAGCCAAGCTCGCATCCGCAGGAAGTTCTCTGAAGTAAGTTCCCCTACATACACCCCGAAACGGTCCAATAAAGATAACAAGAAGACGAAGAACAAGAAGAACAAAAGGGAACTATCAGCTTTCCGAAGCCCATTTGCTGAGGGGAGGTTGGTAGAGGAGCAGCCGGAGCTAGAGCAGCTGCTTCGGACAGTCTGGGCAGAGGCCTTGAAAGTTGCAAGGGATCCCGGAGCTGCTTGCGCTGTCTTCTGACGGTCATGGGGAGTTAAAGATACGTGGGTTTATACGCGTTGAATGTAGGACAGGAACTGGAATAGTAGCAAAGTCATCTCCGTGAAAAATGACACTGGGTCACCTGAGGAACTTGAGACCTGCAGCCTGCTGTGCTACGCCCTGAATCTCAGCACATAAGTTCCCACGCCATGCAAGACATTCCTCGAATGTTGAGTTTCAAGTCGCATGCTGAAAGCTCAGAAAGTCCTTGGGTAGCTCGCAAGTTCTGATATGATCAGGCACGGGGCTCGGACAGCAGTCAGGCGGGGCGACGGTGCTGTCAGCAGTTAGGGTTCAAGGGACATGAGCGATTCGGTGTAAACTCCCGCTGCTATACTTGCTTCCTTTTTTATGCTCATCATGAAACTTCCGACGATGATTGCCCTGTGCTCGAAAGCTGAGCCATGGCACGTTGACTTTCACGAGGAGTATTTGAGTATTGCCCCCTACCTCAATGCTATACCTAGAACTCGGATTTGAACCTCCCTCACTCAATGGGGCCTACCTCATTCATGCAGATGAGGGATATGGCAGGACTTTCGGCTTTCTGCACGGCGGGTAGGCAGATAATTTTGTATACACGCGAAAGATGGCATGGACTCCAAATTGGACAGAGAAGTCCCAGAATCACCTGATTTCACCGCTGCGCACAGCGCTTTACAAAGTCATAGGGGAGGTCACCAATGTCTATTCCTCCAACCACCAGAAGTGGAACTCCACAGCCCTTGACCGTCTGCATGTCTAAACACAAAGGTGCAGTAGCGACTTAGTTGAAACCGCAAACCACCTACCAGGTGCCTCGGGCTGCCTTAGTGGAAGCCACCATGCAGGCGATCTGGGGCTCTTGGACAAGCTAGTGCCGTGGAAGAGAAGCTGTCCAGTTGGTGGTCCTCGAATGTGGGTGAAGCCTCAAGGGGTGAGGGGTCATGGGGATCACTACTCTCGAGCTCTTGTCGTGGCAACAGAAAGCACACAAAGTTGTCAGACAGCCGTTTCGCGGCCCAAGTAAGTGGCAGTTTCATGCAGTCTCATGCTGGCTTTGTAGCTGTCGGCTGGCAAAAAGGAATGAAACAAAGCTGTCCATCTGCAACTGCTCAGATGTGGCGACCACTGCACAACCACAAGCTCAAAAAACTTAATGCTTCGTCGTAGAGAATAAGGGAATAGCATCCCTATATAATCCCCATATAAGATTTTCCCATATTCCCTACTAAGAGCCAGTAAGAAAAGCACACTTGTACAATCAACGGGGCTTGCCTGGGTTTCTTCTTTATGCTTTCAAGGGTTCCCGCAAGCTATAGTCTACACTGCTTAAAGGGAAGGGGAATATGGGGGTTTATATAGGGGACTGCTATAGGTGATATTAAGGGGGATACTAGGAGTTCAGACTATGGCTCAAATAATGAATTGCTGCACATGCTAGCACTCACTACGCAAGAGGTCGCGCACCAGGTTGTTGTTACTTTGCTACAGCATGGGGCAATGAGTGACAGAGGAACGCGTCTTACCTGTGGGGCGTTCAGAGACGAAAGCCGTACCAGCTAAGACCCAGTGGAGCAAAGCTGCAAGCACAGGAGCCAATGATGCTACATGCTTTCGCCTGACCCCAAGGGGAGGGAGAAGGCTTTGCATCCATGGTTTCAGGCGCGGGGACTTAGATTCCAGGCACAATTCTGCAACTGCACATTTCTCATTACCGAAAGGGGTTAGACAGGGACATCCTGCGGCATAGGATGTAAGGAGAGCAGAAGTTTAGAGATGTTGGAGGAGGATTATCATCGACCTTGGGCAAGATTCTTGATTCTGCGGGCCCTCAATCAATGCAGGCCAGCAAGTCGTCCAAGTGTTGAGGTTATCTTTCTTTGTTCAGGCAAGATGTTGAGGTGCTGCATGGCGGAGTCGGAATGAGAACGCCAATGCCCGAATTTCGCAGGCAGCACGAGAACATGCACAAGGCAACAAGCGGCGTTACCCCATCAACTCCCTTGATTTGCATGGTCCCTCGCGCCTGCAAGTAGAAGAAACTCAGACACTGCAATCGCCCGGCTCTGCAGGAAGGAGGTGTGCATCATGTGGGGTGAACAGGGTTTCAGATGGTTGCAGTGTTCTGTGTTGGCCTCACGGGCGCATGGGATAAAGATGATCAAAGTCATGGGAGGTAGAAATCAGTGGTCATCACACCTGCCAGCAACCATCATCGACAGCTTCCAGCCACCTGAAGCCGCACAAGCCAACAGGTCACAGCAAAGCAATCATTTGGAGAGGTAGTTAGCAGGCGAGCCTTCAGAAGCGGATCTTCAAAGGAGGCTGCTCTGGGGGCCTGGATTAGCCGGTGCCTGTGGATGCGCGCTTCCCTCCCCAAGGCACGAGCATTTGTGAAACCTTCCGCTGACTGGATTCCTCAATCAAACATACTTCAAGGGTCTTCGCCCATGACTTTTGATGCCATGCCTGCAGGCATGGCAGAGGCATCACATTGCCCGCAGTGCTTGAAATGTCGTGTGTGCTTTTCTCTGTCAGTTGCAGCAAGAATGGGGCCATCAGCAGTTTGGCTTGTTGGGCCCATCTTCTGAGAGGATCTAACTTCCCGTGCTGGCCTGACTTCAAGACCACGTCCAGCCTGAATGGTGGGCTTCCAACAAGAATAGGGTCACCTTCTTGGGGGTCCACATCATCAGGATTATAATTTTTGGGTTTGTATTGGGGTCCCAAGTTTGCAGTCTTTGTGCGAGGTCGTTTCCGGTGAGCTTATGTCCAGAACGTTCTATGTCCGTGTGCTGGTTCATGCTGATCTGTGTGGGCCACTGCGGAGAGCCTGTCCTGACAGTTGTGGCAAGTTAGTGCAGTCTTGTGTAGTTGTCGAGATGAGTTGTTGTCCTCCCGAGTGGGCTGAGCGTATGATGGCATTGTTGTGAGCGTCCTCGGGTGCTTGCGGGATGCTTGACGGACTCAGCTGGTTTCACATGTATAGCGTGCCCTTGCTGCGCAAGACCCTCTGGATGGCACGGCAGAGAGAGAGAGATGCTCAAAGCCCTGAGCAGGCTTCATGGAGCTTACGTTTCCCGGGCCCTCCCTGCCTGCGCGGCGGGCCGCCTGGCGCCGCCTGACACAGCCAGCATGGAATTCAGGTATAAGTTGTGTGATTTAGGGTTCAGGGTCGCATTCTTGAAAAAATTGGTTAGTGTGTGGATGGGTTGTCCATTTGGCGAGGCCATACTAAGCAGCACCTGTGTATGCCCGGAAACATGACCGTACTTTCACTGGCTGCTGCAAAAAAGTGACCCCAGAATTGTGAAACCACACTCATCATGTGGGTATGGTGTCTAGGCTGCCTCTGATGCATGAGATTCGAAGGCGCAGGTCAAACGTGTAGGAACTTCAAATTGCAATAGCGCACAAGTCTCGGCAAGGAATTTGACATTGAAGTTCACTCAGCAATCACAGCAAGGTCGTTGGTTGCGGCCTGCGGCCCTGCTGCTCCTGTCCCTGGGTTTTCTGGCAGCCACCATATCCGGCATTCACGCACACAAGGCTTGGCATCAGTAGACCCTCCACCTCGGCAATCAAATTGCTAGGCACAACCGGTCAGGCTTAGGTGGAAGACGTTTTGCCAGCTGTGCAGGCACCCCTCAACAATCATCAAGGCGATGGTGACTCTTATGAATCTCACATGCTCAAGCTGCTTAACTCTAGATGCTACCACCAGCACAAGCTCCCGAAAGTATAGCTAAAGCTCCACTGGCGTGCTTGTTGAACAGAAAAGCAAGAACTACACTTTTATACGTGCTTGACCCTTGAAAATGCCGTTGGCAACATGGAATCCTTATCACCCACATCAAGCCCTGAAACGAAAGGTGTCCAACAAAGACCGAAACCCAACTGATATTACCACCAAAAGATTGGTGGGATGGGGTGGATGCAATGTTGGCATGAAGGCAAACTCACAGGATCCTGATCAGCGGGGAGCCGTAAATGGGACCCAACATTTCAAGAACCCCTCCACCCTTAGCAGGAAGATGTCCACTACAATATGATTGTTTCCGCGGAGCCTGGGGCATAAAAAGGAAATTGGATTCTCTCGGCTAGGGGCTTAACAAGAGGGAACTTTCAGCTAGTTGGTATTAGTTTGCATCCGATAGTTTAGGCGTTGAGGTTTTTTTTACGGGCAATTATGGTGTGAACTTCAGAAAGTCATAATCAGAATCATCCCTACATAAAGTTTGCATCACTTGCTGTGGCCCAGCGGTAATCAGTTGCAGCTGAGTATACAAGCCCCACCAAAAGAGGTTCAACCCAATCTCTGCATTCCTTATTTGGCACTTGTGAAGAGTATTTGGCCTGGCTTATAGTCTGCTAGAAGTGAAGGTTCAAGGCTCTTCAAAGACTCAGGCCTCCCGCAAAAGTAACGCCCTTTGGGTGGCGTGACCATACGAGGGACATTAGGGTAATATTAGGGAGTATATATTATAAGGTGGGGTTATATTGGGATAATGGAACAGAAAATGGAAACTACTATAATGGGGTTATATCATTCTATCCCTTGCTTCTTTTGATAGACGAGCTCAAGCGATACATGCTTAGGGTCGATTTCTTGGCGGCGGAAGGTCGGCGAAACACGTTTGTGTGTTTTCTATTAGGTAATTGTAGGGTGTGCGCCATCATGCTGAACAGTTGATGCCGGAGTTATCGGTGAATGAAGAGCTCTGGCTTGTAGTGGAGCATGAGGTTGGCAAGGTGTGTATAGGTTTCAGCAGGGTCAAGATATGTTCCTCATCTGGTGGCCATGAGTTTGTGAGTGCGCGACGAATTCAGTGAATGAATCGCGAAAGCGACGCGGCACAGCAACGTTGGACCCTTTCGGACCATGCCTTAGCGCGCAATCTTCAACAACTGTGCCATCATGGCCTACCACCTCTCCATTCTCGCGTGCTAAGCAGTCTTTGCACCTAAGCCTGACAAGCAAAGCCCGGGTGCGCTTCAATTGAGCTAACAACCCAGAGCAACCATAATCAGAATACTATTTTGCTGTGCGCGCAGAAGACTTGGCCAAAGGCGTGGCTGTTGCTGAAGAAATTTTGAGCAACGGCCGCACATGATTGACAGCACTTGCTGTCCCAGCTTTGGCAACTCTTCTGGTGGTGTGACCAAGGAGTCATGGGGGTCATAAGGCACCCGTGGTCAACACAAACCCAGAATTGAACCTGAGAAATATCCACATCTAAGGTGATGTTGCAAGTCGTGGCCTTTTCTGCGGCAGTAGTGGTTCTGCACGCCAGAACAGAGTGTTTGATCCACCTTGCAGGAATTCTGTACCTCAGTCGCATACTTGAAACATGGGAATTTCTATGGCTAGGGTTTAGGATTGTTCCATTTTCGGAGTCTTGGCTTGGAGAATATTGCGGCCATTTTTGTTGAGGTTTTGGCTCCACGAATGGGTAATTCAATCGGCGGTGCAGATGATTGTAGTAACTGTAGTATTGTGCAAGGCTCCTCTTCGATTCTTGCAGCAAAGTAGTTTGGGAAGGTTTGAGTTTGCAGCTGAAAGCCTTGCCTGGGGGTCCTAAGTCGAAAGCAGCAGGGAAACTCTGATGAGACTACTTCATTTGGCATACTCCCCAAGGATTACCATGTGGATCGGCGAAGCAGGACTGTCTGTGAAATACCTCCTGCAGTGCTACGGTCTGAAGGACTATGGCTTGGTAGTGATCATCTCTTTGGGTGGCCTACACGGCGTGGGCTTCGGTATCCAAAAAGCATTTGGTCATAACTGTCTGACAGATGTGGAATCCGTATTGGAAATGGACCTCGGCTCTGGGACTTTATATCGGATGTGTGTCGCCGATCTCCTGCTATCTATCTTGATCATCTTAGCAGCTGCAGCCTATGAGCTCGAGACAGATTTGGAGATGGAATTTTCAGAGGTGCCGCGGGTGCTGGCAAGCTTGCTTTGCTGGGCATTCCTATGCATAGGCATCGCCTTTGCCTGCAAGGGCTATGTTGCCTTCGGTCGAGTTGTAAGGATGGTAGAGGAGACCACAGCACGATTGGAGCGAGAAAAGTCGCGCAGCCATCTTTGGCACCAGAGCGGCGATGAGGACGTTCAGGGGATGTTTGGCAGGCTGCGCTACCTCAGACGCACTGTCTCGTCCCTGTGTCTCATTCGCCTGGTGGTTTTTGGGCACGTCATGCTCTTCAATGGCTTTCTGTGGCCACTTCCTGATGACCTGCGGGCATGGGTCCCGGATGATATGGGGCTTGCTTCACAACTGCTCACTGACTCGGAGTGCCTTGCGCACTTGTACTACCTGTGCGTATTGGGGGTGGTTTGGTATGGGTACGGAGGCCTGATACCCCTTGAGCTGTGGGGAGTATATAGGGGTTTATAGGGATATTACCCCTACCGTGGAGAAGCAAATGGAAAAGAAAATGGAAAATGGAAACAGAGATTATAGTACGCAGGTCTGACATCACTTGTGGGCATACATGCGCGCTTCCAGGATGAGCCTTGGGCAGCAGCTATCTGTGAAGGATGTAGGGTTTAGGGTTTAGGCTATAAGGGTCTGTTGTACATGTCAATATACATGATCCCTATACATCAGCATTGAAAAAGTGTTCATTTCATGTTCCGTGTTCTTTTGCATGTGATTCTCCATCATTGGGGATAATATCCCTGAACCCTCAATCCTAACGGTAGTTTCCATCTTCTTTTACATCGCACCCATATGAACTACAGTCAATATTAGGCTTGTTAAGGGACCCTTAGCAGCGAACATAGGGGTTCTGCGTGTAGTTTAGTCTAGTCCCTAATATAGTCCCCCTTATGGGGCCCGTGTCCATTTATTATCTGAGAAGATATTGACTGTTGCTCATATATCCTTATCATGGTGTAAGTAGGTAAGTAGGTGCCGCAAGGTCCAACTCTCCAGGTGGCGTCTTGCTTCCTTTATATAACCCCCATGTATAGGAGTATATCGGGCTAATGGACACGAAAATGGAAACGACTGTTTAGGATTTAGGGTCGTTGCTAAGGAAGAACTTCGTTTGCTGAAGCGCGCCCTTCAGCAGACCACCTACGCTCAAGCCAGCGATGCCAGGTGGCAGGTGGGGTTGCAGATGTGCATGTCCCTACATAGTCTGTAGTAAGGACCTCATGAACACTTTTTATTCCTAGGGCCCCTGAGGGAGGCCCGCAGCTGGGCGTGTTTTCAGAATGGGAGGGAGTCTCTTCTGCAGCTTTATTCGTCATGTGTGTTTTATCTTTCCCCCCCTCCTGAAAACCGTCCACACTGTCTACAAGGTTCCTGAAAATATATATATTTTAAATTTCTGTTACCAACAATCCTAATATTTAGCTGGAATTATAATTTCTACTGGGGTTCCAAATCCCTTAGAGTCTTGTAAAGCCGAGCAGGCCACGGTGGAGGATCTCGCGTGCCGAGCGCGCCCGAGCTGCACTTTGTGAGCAGGTCACCACTTTCAGCCCCATCACCCCCGCTACTACACAGAATTTGGGGTAATATTAGGGTTATATTGGGGTTATATTAGGGTTATATTGGGGTTATATTGGGGTTATATTAGGCTTATATTAGGCTTATATTGGGGTTATATTGGGGTTATATTATTGGGGAAGTAATGAGAAAACTACACTTCGAATGGCAAAGATAATCGCCGCGTTCTGCTGCGGTTGCGGAACGCAGACACAGAAGAGGTCTCGAGATGATTGTTGTGTGTAGCTGCCCCAGTGATATCAGTTCCCATACCACTGCAATATGTGGAAGTCCAAGCAAACTCTGACAGCCCCCCTTTTCCCCACACCCCCACCCCTGTCGCTGTCGGAGGATTACTGTCGATGCGCTGCTAGACTTCTATGCTGGCCTGGGTCGCGAATATATGCCTGGCTTCAACCCTGAGAAGCACACCACCCATGATGTGGTGCGGCAGGCGATCATCCCGCTCAGCGTGCCTGGCATTATGATTATTTATCGTCATTCAATGTGGGGACATGGTACAGTAATTACCGCGGCTATCAGCAGGTGACTGAGGATGAGGATCCCTTCGTGCGCACAATGTTTGCTCACCTTACCTATAAAATCATAGTAGCAGAAATCATAATGATAATGAGAATGATGATAGCAGTAAGATGATGAGCACCTTGATGCTTGGTAACTTGCTGGGCCTGGTCTCAAATCCATACTTGGATTCATCACTCATACAGTAGGTAGAATTATTTCTGACATTGGGAGTGCTTTCTGTGGAATGCAGTGCCTTGGAGCTGTTTCTGCGGCTGAAGGATAGAGTTTGGGCGGTTTCTGGGTTGTCTTCAGTAGAGGCCGCAAGCAGTTTTTGGGCGAGCTTCCTGCCCAACAAAGGCAGAGGCGAGTTCCAACTTGGCGCGGCTCTTGATGAAAGGTGGCAAGGCCGCACTGAACTTGGTGGTGTAATATGTGGGTGACTTGAGCTCTGAGCCCAGCTCGTGATGCAGCACATGAGTAAGCTTCAGGCAGCGTAGAAAGGTGTGATATGCCAGTTCAAATCCCGCAGTTCCCAGATCAAAGACAACGTGAACCAGATGGTACGGTACCTGTTGTAGTACGAACCCCTATGGAAGTCTATAGTAATCCCCGCTGCGTGCTGCGTCTGATAAACTTTACGTGCCACTAGCCCCATACTCGCACATAACCCCAGCAGAATCACTAGAACTCTGGGAAAGCCAATAAGGTCAGCGCCTCTTGCCCAATGTCATGGTCTCCCATACTTGGTGGCCTGCCTGCCCTGGATGGCACGTGGACGGCCCATGAGTACTGGTAGCGCCGGACAGTGCGTGCACAGTGGCCACGGTGCCAACAATGTTAATAAGTTTCGGGCTTCGGCTTGGAGGTGTCTTAGGGTCAGTCAGGACATGGAAGGGCTGCATACACGCATACACCCAGCACACCCCAGCCGGCCCACAGGGATTAAGCCTCCTCACGATCTTTGCTGATCACACTCGATCCAGACAAGAAGGGAAAATCCGCGCATCTCTCCAGCCTTGATAACCGATAAATCCTGAAAAGTTCCGGAACCCACTCTCATAAATCACCTCCTGATCAAAAAAACGCCTCCTAACCTTAAATCCTTCTTGCTGAGCCTTAGAAGTTGAGTCCCCAAAGCGTCCGCAGGTAACACTCATTCATTCCCAGACCGTAACTTGCGAGCCCAATGAAATCCACTAAGAACCTTCTAAGCCTTCAGCATATCCCAGTGAAGCCAAGGCGGGGCCGCTTTCGAGACCTTGTGGCCGCGGTGGTGGCCGACAGTCTCGATGAGCGCCTGGGTACAAATCGTGACCGCGGAGTTGCAAGGTCGCAGGGCGAGGAAGATTCTACATACGCATATGTACATTATACTATATTCTATTTTACTTGATGCGTGTCTTTACGGCGAACATGAAGAAATACACACAGATGCACCTGCATACATATTAGGCGCATTTCTGTGGTCTGTGTCTGCGCTCCGAACTTGCGAGGGGTTGCCCATCGTGTTTAGTTTGCCAACTTTAGACTTGACTTTATAGGGTAGAGGCTCAGATATCTGAGGCAAGAGTACGGACGCATCGGCAACCTGCTGGACAGCGACATTGATCTAATAAAGCGTTGGATCTCTTCCAGCCACAGACTGAACAGAATCTTGGCATTGTCAGAACTTGCGCGTTTTGGGCAAGCCTCCTTTCCTGGCCTTGGCTGTTTGGAGGCCTTTCCTGGTCTTGGCTGTTTGGAGGAAGTAGCCATGCCCAAGCTATGGGAGAGAGACTCTACAAAAGAAGGGCAAGCAAATCTTCTTGTGCGCGTGGCTAGTTGACATCACACATTGTTAACAAAGAGCACAGTCCCGGCTCAGCAACTTTGACGCTTGGTCTCACTTTACTGAGAAGTCTCAGGGGCTGAAGAGGTTGCGACATTCCGCGGTATCAGTTTTACAAGAATTCATGATGATCGTTCCTTTCCTACAGTCCAGAACTTAATTCTTCCCCAACATCCGTTTTGGGTTATCACGTCTACTTGAGATTTTCTTGCCCAAGCCTGGGATCGCTTCGGGCCCGGCAAGCCCGAAACGGCTACAGATACTCTATAGGAGTACTAGTTGTGGCTGATGAGTTGGGTTGTGCTTTTTCATGATGTACGCCTCTGCAATTCAAACTCCCTTGCCAAGCATTGGTTGAATACAACTACCGGGCTTGACCCCCACCAGTTTTTCTCCAGGAACCTACTGGATTTGCGCTTTCAGTGTGAACCAGCATGCCAGCATTTGTGCACCGACCGAGCTGCAACGGGATTCCGTCACAGGCGCGGTGCAGGGCAAGAACCAGTTGCGTGCAGGTTGAGAGTTGAGGTGGATTTGATGAAGGGATTTGGGAACAATGTCGAGCCCTTCAGCGTTTTCATCGCGTAGCAGTCTGAAGCCCAAGCCTTGCATCTTAAGCTGATGGTGGTCCTCGAAAGCTGGGGCTTCATAAGGAAATGCTGCTGAAACTTGCTAACGTGCCGAAGAGGGCCTTGTACGTTGCTTAGGAATCCCCTTGTTGAAGAGGAAGGCAGATTCCGAGATGCGCCTGCGGCTGTCCCAAGTTTCTGAACACGGATGAGCCCTGTCGCGCGGACGGCGCCAGCATTCATTGTGAGATGACCCTTGCCTTATTTTCAGAGAGCATTCAAAAGCCCCACTTACATAATATACATGCATGTGTATGAATACATGTATAGGTATGGGTATACAGTATACAGTATACAATATACAGTATACAGTTAGTATAGGTATAGGTATGTACGCACATATATTCAGCTGACACATATTACATATATGGGCGGCTCATGGCTCAAGCCGGTCTAAAGTCTGGAGGGCGAGCTCGGTGTGCAACAATCCATGGTTTTGTTTTTAATTGCCAAACAAAGACATCATTGACATGTCTGCTGGCAGACTAAAAGCCGAGGAACAAGTTCGGTGACATGATGGCGTGGCTCGCAGCCAAGGACAGAATTGTGGTCCCTCTGTAGGGGAGGTTTAGGGTTTAGGGTCTAGGGGGATTATATTGGGGACCACTACAGGGCTCATTAAGGGGGATACTAGGAGATAATGGCTGGTCAGATGGTCATTCCAGTGTATCCTGTCACAAGCCAGGCTACCGATTGCATGACATGCAGGCATTGACAACTTGCAGCAGCCCTGAGCGAACGCTGCCAAACCCATATCCTGACCTTACGGCCGAAAGCTACGAATCTGGATAAAAGTCTCCAGCTTTCGAGGATTGTTAGACTACGCCATGCAAGCAGCAAGGGCCTCAACGCTTAAAACACCTCAAGCTTGGAGGACAGCTCCTTCACGCACGTCCTGGCCATGGATGGTGATTTAGACCTGTTGTCCCGAGCATGGTGCGTTGCAGAGGCAATGAGGGTGCCAGCATGAAAAGTAGGGCCAGTTCTCCCCCGCGTTCTCAGGAACCCCAAACCAAATTCAATGCGTCGTTCCTTATAGGGTTCAGAGGCAATTCACAACGCGAACTGCAAACACAATGTGGAAATTGGAGATGCTCCCTTACTTTGAAACGCCGTCCCAGCAAACCTGTTGCATAAACCTCTTTGTTATGCAAGGCCTAGGCACAGCGGGAGGGGGAAGTTTCAGGTAATCAAATGTGGTAGTTGTCAAGCACAGCAACATGGAACTAGCATGGATTCTCCCTTGCAAGGTTGTGAGGCCCTGGCTGTTGTGATCCTTTGCCCCTACACCTCAAACCATCAAGGCCGCCGAGTCGTATATCATGGGCATGTCCCAGCACATGAAGGTTTTCAGCCTCAGGCACATACGCGCCTAGGCTTGTAAAATGTTTCGTTGGATACTTTTTGAGAGTTGTTGGGATTCAGGTTCGGGAAGTGAGCAGGTAAAAAATGTATTCTCGCGTGGTAGCTGCTTAATCTTGCTTCTTTGTGGATCATCCAGAACCTGGATGCCTTTCGACACGTCCTTGCTCGAAGGCTTTGCTTGACCACAACCATGTTGTCTTCCAAGGACGGAAATGGGCCAAGGTGAAGGATCTGCGGGTCGAGCACATGGAGGCCACCAGGCGCGCAACCGCTTTCGCCTTCAGTGGGCCTCATGACATGAGCTGTACCCTGCATGCTTGGCCCAGACTCCAGATTTGACAGGCCCGAGGATGTGACTGAGATCCTGCACCTTCGCCGCAGAGGGCGTTTCCCGAACCCACTAACTGGGCTAAAAAAATACACGTGCATTGCGGAAGCTAGCTGGCTGCAGCAGGGCAGTATTCAGGCGTAGAGCCTTGACGGTGCTGAGGGGCATCCCTTTCTGGGGATCATTCTACTCCAGCTGCCAGCCTTGCCAACAATGATGTGTGCTATGCTGTAGCTTAGCCTGAAGATGCTGCTGGGGTAGGGCCAAGCACGGAACTGCTTTTCGCAGGATGTGCAAAACATGATCAAAATTTCTCACAGCACTCACCGAAGACCATCCACGACCTCCTAATGGATGCTTGGGCTCGAGGCAGCGCATACCAAACAAGGCGGAGTTCAACACGCAGCTGCAGAAGCTTTTCGAGCCTTGGTTGAGGGCTTAGGATTCAGGTTTAGTTCTTACGCTTCTTGAGAGTCGTTATATTCAGCAGCATGCCTGAGTCAGGAGTAGGATAAGCTTAAGAGCCAAGCTTGTAACCCGTCCTCTATGTGCCGGGAAGGATTCCCTACATGAGGGATGATAAAAAACCCCGTA